TTAAAGAAAATGAAAGAGAAAAGAAAGAAAAAAAAAAAAAAGAAAAGAAAAAAAAGAAAGAAAAGAAAGAAAAAAAGAAAAAAAGAAGAAGAATTGTAAAGAAAAAGGAAAAAAAGAAAAAATGAAAAGAAAAGAAAGAAAAAAAGAAAAAATATGGGAATTTGAGATAGAAAATTTGAAAAGAAAGAAAGAAAAGAAAGAAAGAAAAGAAAAGAAAAAAAAATATTTGAAAAAATGAAAAAAAGAAAAAAGGTTTAATGCCAAAGAAAGAATTGTGAAAGAAAGGAAAGAAAAAAAGAAAATAAAAAAAGAATTATGAAAAAAAGAAAGAAAGAAAGAAAAAATTAAAGAAAATTTGAACAAAGAAAAAGTTTGAACAGGAAAGATAGAAATAAGTGAAAATGAAAATAAAACAGAAATAAAAAAGAAAAAAATAAAATTAAAATAATTAAGAAATGTTGGAAGAATGAATGGATGTAAAAATAGAATGAATTTTATAGAAAAAGAATAATGAAAGAAAAGAAAATAGAAAGAAAGAAATAAAAAAAAATTAAATGAAATTGGAAAAAAATTAGAAAAATGAAAAAAAAATGTAAGGTTGAATAAAAAAGAAAATGAAGGAGAAATGAAACAAAATGAATTGAAATAAAAAGTGTTATATAAAGAAATAAGAAATTTGCTGTTTTTCCAAAAAATTTTTAAAAATTAGAAATGAAAGTCTTAATGAAACGAATGATGCTTGTTTTTATAAATAAAAATAAAAAACAAAAGAAAGAAAATATCTAAATGAAAAATTAAATGAAGGAAAGATAGATTGAAATACAAAAAAAATTATAATAAATATGCACAAAGAAAGAAAGAAACATCTTAAAGAAATGAAAAATTGAAAGAAAAAAAAAAGATGCTCAATTTACCGGAAAAAGTTAAGAAAGGCTTAAAAAAAAGGATAAGAATTTAAATCATTGAAAAATATAAAGAAAGATGTTTCAAAATCTCCATTGTAAAAGAGAAAGAATGAAAATTTAAAAAATATTAATGAAAAGAAAACCAAAGTAAAAAATTTAAAAAAATTTTGGAAATAAAAGCAAAAAAGAAGAAAGAATAAAAAATTAATGAAACAAAGAAAAAAAGAAAGAAAAAAATATTCAAAGAAAAAAAAAAAAAAAGAAAAAAGCATGAAAAAAAAAGAAAGTAAAAAAAAAAATGGAAAGAAAATAAAAAAAGAAAAAAATCTTATAAAAATTTAAATAAAAAAACTGAAAAAAAAAAAAAAAAAAATAAATTCTTAGGAATCATAATAAAGAAAGAAATATTTATTTAAAACTTTTTTAAAGAAAAAAAGGGAAAAAAAATAAAAGTTTTTTTAATAAAAAAAAAAAAGCACCGGAAAAGAAAAATTAAAATGAAAATTTTCTTTATAAAAAAAAAAATACAAAATAAAAGAAAAAAAAAAAATGAAGGTTGAAAAAGTCAAAATGAAAAAAAAGAAAAAAAAAGAACCTTCTGTTTGGCCAAACTTTAAGAAAAAAAAAAAAAGAAAAAAAAAGGAAAATTCTTTGTTTTTTAAAAATTGAAAAATTTTCAAAAAAAAGAAATGTTTTAAGAAGAAAAAAAAAAAAGAAAAAAAAAAAAAAACCCTGAAAAAAAAAAAAATAAAATTTAACAAAAAAATAAAAAAAAAAAGAAATAAAAAAAAAAAAAATTAAAAAAAGAAAAATAAAAAGAATGAAATTTTAATTAAAAAAAAAGAAAAAAGAGAAAAAAAAAAAAGTTGTTTTGATTAAAAAAGAAAAAAAAAAAAAAAGAAAGTAAGAAAAAAAAGAAAAAAAAATATTAAAAATAAAAAAAAAGAAAAATTAAAAAAAAAGAAAAGAAAAAAAAATGCAATTCAAAATATTTGAAAAAAAAATTTAAAGAAAAATTGAAAAAAAAAAATTTTTAGAAAAGGATTTAAAAGGAAAAAAAAATAAAGAAAAAAAAGAAAAAAAAAAAAGAAAAAAAAAAAAATTGTTAAAAAATTTTTAATTCCTTGAAAGAAAAAAAAAGAAAAAAAAAAAAATAAATATAAAATAAATAAAGAAAATTTAAAAAAAAAAAAATAAAAAAAAAGATTTAAAAAAAAAAAAAAAGAATTAAATGAAAATAAAAAGAAAAAAAAAAAAATTCCAATTAATTAAAAAGATAAAAAAAAAGAATTGAAAAAAAAAAAGAAAAAAAAAAATATTTTATTAAAATATATAAGAAAGAAATATTAAAAAAAGGAAAAAAAAAATTTTAAATAATTAAAAAAAAAATAAAAAAAAAACTGAAAGAAGGTCTTGGAAAGAAAGAAAATAAAATATTATTGAAAAAATTGAAAAAAAAAAAAATATAAAGAAAAGTTTTTGGAAAGCTTTCAAAAAGAAAAAAAATAAAAAAATACAAAAAAGAAAAAAACTAAGAAATTTTTTTGAAGATAAAATTATAAAAAAATTTTGAAAAAAAAGAAAGATTTTTTAAACAAATTTTAAAAGAAAAAAAGAAAGAAAAAAAAAAAAAAAAAAAATTTTTTAAATTTTAAGGAAAAAATAAGAATTTTCCAAAAAAAATAAAAGGAAAAAGAAAAATTTAAAATAAATTGTTTAATAAAAAATCTAAAACAGAAAAATGAATTTTAAAGAAAAAAAAAAATAAAATAGGAAAAAAAGAAAAATTTCAAAAAAAAAAAAAAAAATTTGAAAAAAAAATTTTATGAAAAAAAAAAAAAAAAAGGATATTAAAAAAAAAAAAGAAAGATTAAAAAGATGTTGAATGAAAATGTTAAGATATAACCTATTTTTTAAAAAAAAAAAAAATAAATATAAAGAATTAAATCAAAGAAAAAAATAAATTTAAATCAAAGAAATATAGAAAAAATTCAAATAAATTTATAAGAAAAAAAAAAAAAATCTTAAAAATTAAATTTTTTAAAATTTTAAAAAAAAAAAAAAAATAAACCATTTTTTTAAAAAAATTTTAGAAATGAAAAAAATTTAAAATTGATTTTGTCAAAAGAAAATTTTCAAAGAAATTTATATTGATCAAAACAAACAAAATTTAAAAAATTTATTTTTAAAAAAATTAAAAAAAAAAAAAAAAAAACAAAACAAAGTTCAAGAAAATTTTTAAAAAAAAAAAAAATTAAAATACACATAAATTTTAAAAAATTAAAAATATCAAAAATTTAAAATTTAAAAAATGAAAACAAAAAAGAAAATAAAAGAAAAAATCTTTATTTAAAACCTCCTGGAATATTTTTTCACTTTATAAAATTTTAAAAAAATAACTTAAAAAAAGATATAAAAAAAATTGATAAAATGAAAAATTATTTTTTTTTTTATAAAGATATTTTTCATTTTTAAAAAAAAATAATGGAAGAAAAAGTTGAATTCTATCATAAACAAATTTAAATTTTTGGATGATCAAATTTTGAAAAATTTTTGGTTCATAAAAAAATTAAATTTTTAAAAAATTTGAAACTCCTTTTTAAAAAATAATAAAGTTAAAATTTTTTTTTGAAATTTGGAATCAAAAAAAAAAAAAAAATTTTTTTTTAAAACAAAAAGATAAAATAAATCATTTAATTGAAAAGAAACAAAAATATGTAATATAAACAGAATTAAATTTTGAACAGGATTTTTTTTAAAAAAATATTTTTACATTTAATTAAATTTGTTTTGTCAACCAAAATACAGAAAAAAGATTATAAGCCAAAATTTGAAAAAAAAAAAAAAAATATAAAAATATATATTTTTCGTTGTCTCAGTTGTTTTTTAATATTTTAAAAAATAAAAATTAATTTTTTTTTCAAAATAAAAACAGGAATGAAAAAATACAAAAAAAAATTTTTATTTTCAAAAAATAAATTTATTTTTGATTTTAAAATGCAAAAAAAAACTCATGTAAAAGATACATTATTTCTTTTACGATAGATAGAGAATAGATAGTTTGCAGAGAAAATGGTTACATTACAAAATTATTTGACAAAAATCTATATTTGAAATAAAAAATAAAAAATTGATTTGATAATAAAATGAAATGGTTATGAATTAAATTTGTAGAAAAAAAAAAATTAATTTTGAAAAATTAAAAAAAATTAATGAAACTATAACAAAAATCATTTAAAATTAATTATTTTTATTTTTTTCAAGATATCATACTGAGAATTTTCATTTTGAAAAATTTAGAAAAATAAAATTTAAATTATGCCATTTTTTTTTTTATTGTTTCTAATGTTATAATTTATGAGAAAAAATTATAAAAAAAATAAATTTTAAAAATGAAAAAAAAACATAAATTTTTTTTTGAAAAACATTGAAAATTAAAAATTGATTTTTTTAAAAAAAACTTAAAAAAATATAAAAAATATACAATATTAAAAAATTAAAATAGATGAAGATTTTTTATAAAAATTTATAAAATTAGAATACAATTTAAAATTTTAATAAAAATTGTTTTTTATGTGAAAAATTTTTAAAATCTTTAAATGAATAATTAATGTTTATTTCAATGATTTATTTTTTAAAATTTTCTCCAATTTTTAAATTATTTTTATATTAAATTCGAATTTTTTATGATTTCAAAAATAATTATATATAAAAAAAAATATATAAATATATTATTTCCATATTAAATATAAATTTTATAAAATTAAATTTATCAAAAAATTTATATATATTTTTATTTATTTAAAAAATTTATTTTTTTATATGATGGATTTAAATGAATCAACAAATATAATTTGAATTTTCTATATAAAAATAAATTTTATTCAAATTCCTATTTAAAATCAAATATCATTTAGAATTAAAAATCAAAATATAAAAAAAAAAATTTTACTGTAAATTTGTCAAAATATTAAGTAAATTAAAAAATTTTTAATTTTTATTTTTGAAAAAAAAAAAACATTAAAATAAAAAAATTTTGAAAAATGAAAAAAAAAAAGAATAAATTTAAAATTTTGAATATTTATATAATTAAAT